TATGTGCCCTGACTGGGAATCGAACCATGACCTCTTGGTTCCTAGGTCAGTGCTCAACCACTGAGCCATTCCAGCTGGGCTCTTCCTCTTCTTATAAAGACGCCAGTCCTATCAGATTCGGGCTCACCTTTGACCTCACTCAACATCAGTTATCTCCGTGAAGGCCCGGTTTCCAAATGCAGACCACTGGGGGCTGGAGTTTCCACACAGGAAGTTGGGGGGATCCCGTGCAGCCCATCACAGAATCCTTCTGAACGAAGCACAGACACACAGGTCACCCCCACCTTTAGGGCTTCCTGCTCCTAGCCTGGGTCAAAGGTCAAGCATCTGGTAATCTTTCATCTTTTGGTGCAGAGGAAGCTCAGCTCTCTTGTATTTACAGCTATCTCTGTTCTTTGTCCCAGGGAATGAGCTTAAAGATATTTATTTATTGGCGCCCCAGCTGGTTTGGCTCAGTGGGTAGAGTGCCGGCCTGTGGAGTGAAGGGTCCCGGGTCCAGTTCTGGTCAAGGGCACATGCCTGGGTTGCGGACTCGATACTCAGAAGAGGGCATGCAGAGGGCAGCCCAGTGATTCTCTCTTCCTTGATCTTTCTCCCTCTTTCTCTGCCTTTCCCTTTCTCTCTAAAATACATTTTTTAAAATGTTTTAAAAACTATTTATTGGCAAACTCGTTACAGCTGGCAACACCGACCTTTAGATTTTCCTGCCGTAGTTCCTCATTCCAAAGGGGTCAGGGCCCAAGGTCGCAGGCCCTCCAGGGCTGGTTGAATTGCAAGGTTGGGACTCTCCCTCCTCCAGGTGCCCGCTGCCGGCCCAGGGAAACATTAACCCACTCGGTTTGGCCATCGCCCTGTGAGAGTGAAACGCTCTGACTTGCCGCCGGTCACATGGTGGAGACCGCGGCAGTCTTTCCGCACCCACCCTGTGCTGGGCACCGGACGCGGAGACCATGAAGGCGAACCCCGCCCCCAGGGAGTGCCTCAAGCCAAGAGGGCAGGGACCATGCAGGGAGCTCAGGGCTGTTCTGGAGGGCTGCCTCCCCCTGGAGCAGGGAGGCCGTGGGAGAAGACTCCACCTTGGACTTGGCTCTTGTAGGGAAGGCAGGAGTTCCCAGGGAAGGAGGCGCTGGCACAGGGGGGAAGGGTGCTCCAGAGGATGGAACAGAATGTGCGAAGGCAGATGGTAAAGAGTAACCATGGCTCATTGGGGAGGCTGTAGGACACAGGGGCTGAACCCTGAGTGCCCGGCTGGCTCTAAAGAGCCCCATGGCCATGTGCTTGGACTAGATCCTATAGGCCCGTGGTCGGCACACTGCGGCTCTCGAGCCACATGCGGCTCTTTGGCCCCTTGAGTGTGGCTCTTTCACACAATACCACAGCCTGGGCGAGTCTATGTTGAAGAAGTGGTGTTAGAAGAAGTTGAAGTTTAAAAAATGTGGCTCTCCAAAAAAATTTCAGTCATTGTCCTGTTGGTATTTGGCTCTGCTGGCTGATGACTTTGCCGACCCCTGGTGTAGGCATTCCAGAGTCCCTGGAGGGTCTCAGCAGGGGTGTGGCGTGGTCCAGGAAGGGACGTGCTCTCCCAGGCCAAAGCTGTAGGGTGTTGAGAATGCAGCTCCTGCTCAGCCAGGACAGGCCTTGTTTGTGAGTAACGCAATGCAAGGCCAGAGCCGAAATCTGCCATCTGCATTCTGGCGGCAAGAGTTTCGCCCACGTCCCGCTGAGATGAACAGCGAGAGTGACTTATTGTACCTCGCACGGACTGCCACAAAGTCTCAGAACCCGCATCTCCCTGGAGAGGTGACCGAGGCTCACACCTGAGTCTGTATTTTTTATCATTATTATTTTAAATCTTCACCCAAGGAGTGAGGATATTTTTTCCATTGATTTTTTTAGAAAGGGGAGGGACAGAGGGAGAGAGCGAGGGAAAAGAGACATCAGTGTGAGAGAGACACGTTGACTGGTTGCTTTCCACATACGCCCCAACAAGGGCTGGAGATTGTACCTACAATCTAAGGACGTGCCCTTGACCGGGAATCGAACCCAAGACCCTCGGGTGTGCAGGCCAATGCTCTGCCACTGAGCCAGGCCGGCCAGGGCCCAGGGTCTGTGTAACTCCAGAGTCTGGGACCCTACAGTGTCCCGGGGGCTGTGTCTGGAGGCCTGTGGGACTGTCTCTCAGACACACGGATGAGCAGGCAGAACGGGCCTGGCCTACAGACCAGGCTCCCTCAGGGGTACTTCCTGACAACACGGGATCCTACGTGACCATCTCGCACGCCAGCTTCCAAGCACGCTTGTGGAGCAATCATGTCACAATACAAGGCTCGGGAACGGAGACAAAACCGCCGGCCATTTCACATTCCCATCAGTATTGCTTTTAAGTTGTTTTTCCCCTTAATTCCCTTATCCATGTCTAGACACCTCAGTTGTTGTTGCTAATCCTCACCTGAGGATATTTTTCCCATTGATTTTTTAAAAAGAGAATGGGAGGGAGGGAGGGAGAGGAGAGGGGAGAGAGAGAAAAAGAGATGTAAGAAAGACATATTGAT